CTACTTCGTCCTGCAAACATGCCCTATGCCCACTCACTGATCCAAGCCTTAACCGAGCATAAAGCAAATATTGTTGAGAAGTAGCCATTATGAAATGCAAGATGGTCGTGTACTTGTATACAGGTGCGCGTTAAAGAACTATAGATAGTCCCACTGTGTTCATCCTTTGTAAGAGACCACCTATAGTTTAACCTTTGAAAACTGCCCACTACTTTACCCTTGCAAACATAACACTACGCCCCATCACCGATTCACCACTTCACTGATCATAACGACCTTATAATAAATGGGGAACGGAAGCGACGTATAGCTACCACTTACGAATAATAAAATGTTTTGTATTATATATAAACTGTTTTTCACGTCTTTGATGATGTAGAGGGCAATATTCATGAATTTTTCACGGTTTAGCTAAGCAACCCTCCAGTGCTTCGCCCCCCTAATTATCATTCACTCCGGAGATATGCTGGGATTTTATTGTTCTCTGTTTTCTTTTCCATTAAAATAAGGCTCTCAATCTTGTTTTATTCTATTGCGTATGAGTAGAAACTGCTTCAGCTTTTCGAAACTAAGTGACCGAGGCGTTACATCAAGTTCTAAATGTATACCTAAATTTACGTGGACGCCAATGGGTCCTGAGGAGGTCAAAATATAACACAAGCCTCCAATGCGGCGCACATTACATCTTACCATCGGGCTGTTACTGGGTGAGACATGCTTACAATACAAAAAAAGTAAATGCAAACAGCATAGCTCAAACAGTGCAATGCTAATTAAAAACAGGTATACAGGCGTAAAAATTTATAATAAACAACAGCACTACAAATATGCATAAGAATTTTTATAATATAGGCCTAGTGATCTGAAGTTTTTTGTCAAAGCTCTCGAGCGAAATCACACTATTCAATATTTCCGCGCTTAGTTTGTTCCAGCATTTATTTGTTTTGATGAAAAAAAATGCTTGCAAACATGAACTCTGGATACGTGGGGTCTAGCAACATAAGCGTGAGAGGATCCATGTGCTATTTTGTCTGGAGGCTGCAAGTGCAGTCCGGGGTCGTTGTTTAGCATAGCATGATACAGATGGTCAAACGAACTTAGTCTGGTTCTTTCTATGCGTGAATTTAAACTTGGAAGAATTGCTTCATTTATCAATGCAGTGGCGGATTCAGTCTTTTTTACTTGGAAAAAATAAAGCGTGCTGCAAGACGCTGCACTCACTGGATCTGATTGATTAGAGATAGTCTGTACGAGTCCCACAAACACCCGTATACTCCACGGTGGGTAGAACAACCGTAGTGTAAGCCTTAAGCTTTACATCAGCATATGCCTGTTTTAGTTTGCGTCTTAGCATTGCCAGCTTTCACTGAGCTGACCCACAAATGTTGGAAACACGCTCACTCCACCTTGAGTTATTCGTGATAGTAACACCTAAGTACTTCATTTTCATTGCTCCTCAAATTTTCATACTCCAGATTTTTAAAGTAAATTCTGCTTGCTTTGTTATGAAGCTCTTGCATACTAATTTTTCTAAGTTAGTTTGAATGTGATATGCTACATACCGATTGTAAATTTTGTTTATGATTGGTCATGCGTGCTCTTAACAAGACCAAATAACAAATAGTTGTCTGCAAAAAGGCAAACTGAGAAGCACTTGTCGATGTGACGCGTTGCTGAAACTGTTTAATTTTAAATGAGCTTAGTTAGCATCATCGCTCTGTACAATAGCGATGAAGCTCTTACATAAATTTTAGGTACAATATTGTGCATTCCGGGCATCTTTCTTGGACAGATTCCGTAACACTTATTCAAGAATCGTGATGGTATATTGTTATCACAGATGCTACTCGGAACGGTGGGCGAACCACGCTGCAAAGTAGATTTACACAGTGTGCTCTGCGTCAAAGTTCCTTGAACTTGCTCTCCAGTGTAGCCCTGAATGAGACGAAGGGCTGCCGTCCTCACTGCGCCTTTGCCTATGCCGCCTGTGACTTCTGCGCCGTCCCCTGCGCCTCCCGCCACCGTGGTGCAAAGGCGGGCGTGTTGGTTCCGCCTTCCATCGGTAGTACGCCTTTGGGTACAGCCTGAAAACCGAAAAGATGCGAGTTGTTTTCATCATGCACGAACATGTGCATGTCCGAGTGGTAGCATTCCACCTTCTTTTTTGTGGATATATGCATTATAGACACGAAACTTTTAAGCTTGCCACAGGTGATCTATTGCACATTCATATACCCACGTTTTGTTTGGCGTTTGGTGTTGTGTCTATATTATATGCCAGCTTCATCATTACAACCGACAACCGACGCCGTCTTAAGTCACCATAATTGATAACGATGTTTGTAAACTAATGTGCGCCGAATGGTCTGTCCAAGAAGATTTACGCTTCGGAATTCAGGTAATATTGCACCAATACTCCCTCTAGTGTTTCCCTTGTGTGTTTCTGCTTGTTGCTCTATTATTTCTGGCTTAATTCTTCAAATGTATTTAGAGCGACTTCTAGCGACCACGATATTGGACTCGACGACGTCGCAAGGGAGAGGTACAAGCGTAAACTGCACTGGTGAGAACAGCCGTAGCTGATCTGCCATATAGGGAAGCTGTACAATTCAGCTCCGCAACCGGAGCTAAAAAGCGGCCCCATGTCTTAGCCGCCGGCCTATTTAAATGTACTCGCTCAGGTCCACGAAATCACAAAAAAAAACTCAGTATACTGCGAATGCGTCACACCAGGCACTTTTAATAGACTTCGCTACTGATTAAAATCACGCACAATTTGGTGTGTTCAGTATTGTTTAGACAATAAAAAATATACTCAATATGTGATGGCATAGGCCACGGCAGGTCCCGCTATATTTCCCAGTACAGTATTTTCTCGCACCTATGCAAGCCCGCTCGCCGGAGCCACTTTCATGAAAAACGAATGCAAATAACGGCAACGAAACATCGGCAACGCAGCGTTTAATGTGCGGCGATTAATGATAAGTGCGGCTATTTTGGTTCTCGTGTATTGTCGGAGAGTACACACTACTGAGGAAGCTACAACTACAAAGAAGCACCTGCACGGTGGAGTTTCAGCCTTAGCCTACTCTCCGTTTTGCTATCTACTCCAGGTGTCAGCGCATTTATCTACACGAGCGGAAGACGACGGCGTCCGACGTATTTCTTGCATATGCGTCCTTCGACTAAACCTACAGCATGACGTCTGGATCATTAGAGTATGTGTTACGCTTTGCTTTACTTTCATGAAGTTGGCAGAACAAATATACGCGCTGTTCTTGGCACTCCAGTTTTCTCACCTGATCGCTAATGTCCAGGCATTTTTTCTGCCTTTCTCAATAGTTAAACAAACCGATTTGTCATAAGATAGCGAATAAAATGTGGGTCACCGACTTCTTCCATGCACCGCAGAGCATGCAGTACCATAGCTACGAGCGCTTTATCAAATAACTATATATGCATAAAACATAAAGAAAACAAGCAGCTGCGGCTCGCAACGTAGACTAAAACCATGCTAAATCAATGTAAACGAAGTTTTCCAGGCTGCGCTTCCAGTGGGCCCATTGTGTTGCTAGAGAACAGCATGCGCTGTCGAAACTGTCTATGCACCTCATGAATGCACCAAGTATGTGGCTTAGTGCTTTTCACTGTAACCGCATTATTTTCGTGTTTTTACTATATTGTCTCGTATCGCCTTGCTTATAATTATATATATGCGCAGGTAAATCAAATATTTGATTGATAGCGCCGTGTTTGTGCTTTCCCGTCTGTCTTTTGCGGTCCGTTTAATATTGTAGAGTATATAGCTCCCGAGCATGCCGGTTCGATCAGTATCTGGTCGTTTTATTGAAACTGTGTTTATTTATTCATACGGCATTACAACCAGTATAAAACAACAATGAAGTCAAGGTCAGAGTTAGCATGGATGAAAGCGTACGAGTAAAAGTGAATTGAAGCAAGAAATAATACACACTAAAAGGGCTTTCATAGACGTACTTTATTATCAAAGTGATTTTTCCAGTTGTCGTGGGAGTAACGTGCTCATAGTGGCGATTGAACGTTAGAAGCTACGTACAAAAATACGAAATTACAAAAAGTATAAATATTCTTACTACAATAAACGCACATGAAGAGATCTTGTAAATTTTTGATGGAGGCGAAAATTCTGCAGGCCCACGTGCACGATTTGGGTACACCTTAAACAGTCCCACGCGGTCGAACTTACCACTACCCTCCATCACGGCTTCTCTCATAATCATGTAGTTTTTTAGGGACTTTAAACCACACTCATAATTATTAAATGAACAAATCTTGCAAGTAAAGCAGTAAAGTCCCCGTGTTAACGAGTAATTAAAACAAAAAGTAATGAAAGGAAAGAGTAATTAAAGGAAAGTGTACCTGCAGAAGACAGTGTGAAAGCCAATCAAATAGTGAGAAATGTGCACCGGTTTCTCTCTGACTGAGAGAAATCTTGCAAGATAAGCGTATTTATGGAAGGATCTTTACAGTAGAAGCGCAGAATAAGCAGGCGCCTTCGGAGGGGTCTTTTTTTGATTGAGAAACAATTAACATTTGTTCTCTAGGCTCGATAGCTATCAAGTAACGAATGTGGTGATGAAGTTGCGTTTAGGGCTGATTTCCCTAAAGAAAACGATACTCACTCCGCCTTCATTTGAATGAAGGGCTGATGTTAAGTTGATACTAAGTGAAATGAATGGCGATCTATCAGAGGCCTCAAGCCAGGGGTACGTACCTGTCTACGTCAGCATTTGTGTATGCTCAGCATCATATATATTTTGTAGACACACCCTTCATACAAGTGTGTTTCTTAAATAACTAGACACACTTTTTTTCAAGAGCATTGAATGGTGAGTTTCAAATATGCGTTTCGAGCAAAGGGATTTAACTTTCACGACAGCGTTTGAGCACACTTCGTACAGCGCCTGACCAAAAGGTATTGATCATTCTACGGAACTGAAAAATAGTAGCAAATTATGCGCCTACCAAAGGGCATAAATTGCAGTCAAGAGCCAGAAGCAGGTCTGCGTGGCGATCAAAAAGATCACGGGCGTAGCGAACGCCCAGGAGATGTTTGCCAGGGCAGTGTCAACCTCGATCCAGGCGAATGTAAGCGTCATTATCATGCTGCCGGCGAAGACGAGGCTGACGAGGAACAAGATGTGATCTTCTACGTGCTGGTTGTCCGTGAGCCACTGACCGAACGACTGCGGGGAACACAGAGATGCCATTTAGTTGGAAAGTTTGTTCGGCTTGTTCGTATCGATTTGTGATAATCATTATTTCTGCCCATTTACAATGTAACAACAATTACTAAGATAAAATAACCACATTATGAGTGAGCTATATGCTGCAAAATTGAGAGGGCTTTTGCTTCTTAAATTCTGAAAACAGGCGTTATGTGTCAAGGCATCCATAATAGGCAGGTTTAACTCTTTGTAGTTTCAACAATATTTGGACGCAATTTTACAAAAGCAGGCTTTGGTTTACTCATATATATCACAAAGAATTCAAAAACAAATTTCATAAAATTCAAGCCTATACTTTGCTGGCAAAAAGTGAAACACATAGGCCTATGTCCCTTTGACTTTATGAAGGTACCATCATGCGATCGCATCTCTGAGTATTTGACATAAATGGACAAAGGAAGCGCATAGATAAGCGCTTATGAAGGTGTGCAAAGTACCGATGTGCATATTTCATTTCCTGCAGCGAAACAGCGCTAGCAGATGTGCCTTAAAAATCTTCATACGGCTGTGGTCTGCTGCTTGTTGTCGCTACTGCCGTGTTCAAATGTCCGAGTACTAATGCTGTACCTGAATATTTTCCTACATTTTAGAGGACATATTACATCTACTAAATTATTCCCATGCACCCTTACATCTAATTGGGCTTAGCAAGGAGCTTGATAATACCACTGAGGACTGTTTCGATGTTCTTATCAGTCGATTGAGTGTACTAACCTACGTAAATACAGAAAACTTAGAAACATAAAAACATGGAAAACAGGAATATAAAATCACGTGCTCTGCAACACCAGAAGAAAAAGATACTATTTCACATTTCAAATGATGCTTTCTTTTCCTTCAATTTCTCAGCAGAAACTCCATTCGGAACCTTCTGTAAAAAGGAACAAGTTTAAAACACATTGCGACGCTACTTGCTCATTTTGAATGACACTTAGCACAATGAGAAATGTTTTCTTGGTCGTACATAAACATAGGTGAGATAGCAGCCGCTTATTGTGGCGCTGTTCATGACAGTTGATCTGGGAGAAAAGTTTCTCTGGGGAAGAAAAAGTACAACGTATGTGTCAAGCTGTTCCAGAAAGGGAAGAAAAAATCATGGTTATTGAAACAAATGTGATCTTCACATGCCCAAGACAAGACGAAATTTATGACAAGTACATAATCAAAAATATTGCTGTGACGTTTTCCTCAGTCAACACGGACGACGCGCGCGTGAATCGCAATTAGGATGTGTTCAGAATAACTACAATGGGCTTGTCGTGCTCACTGTTCGAAGTTAGGGCAAGGAGCACGGTAACAGTTTCCACGGGCACGTTCTTCAGCAGCCCGAGGATGCCGTATTGGCAAGTATTACAGAGAAGCCTGAAACACTCAATTTGCGTAAACGGTATCAGAGGTATAGCCACTCTGCAATCGAGTAGAACTTGGTCAGGTGAATTGGACGGACACACACACCAATTTGTGGTTGGGGAAGACGGCATCTGACATTCGGAAACGAGCCTTGACAGCTTCATCGTACATTGAACGTAAACATCAGGAAAATCTGGCGCTTGCACTTGAATCCTTGTTTGTTGATGCAACAATATCTCGTATTTGACACAGACGGTCACACAGCGATGAGTTCCTGTGAATATGGGTCGACGCCGGAGCGCAAATGCGGGAACTTTCTGCCCCGCTACCAACAGAGTGGGAAAAGCAGAAATGTAGAAGTAGGTGAATCCAATCTAATGACTACCTGCGGCAGTTGCGACTGCGCCCAAGTGCTTGTGCATCACCTTTTCGCACTATATACAAGGTCTTGCACAATGATTAAAACAAAGGAATTTCTCAGGAAGCTGCAGTCTGAAATTAGGGATGCATGGTATCTTTTTAGACAACAATCGCATTGACAATGATCGAATTGGGCAAGCAGCTGTGTAAACGGTGTCTTCTATCACAATTATCACAGTTCCTGACCCAAGCATCAAATAACAATACTGACGGCGCAATGTTATTATCCTGGTGCCTAATATCACGTTATTCGACAAATGTGGAAGCGCGCAGCTCCTCATATTGTTCAGGCGTGGACCGCGTAATCACATTTACCTATTTGTGGATGCAGAACGACATCCGGACGTTTCCATTGAGTAGGTCAACGGTTCTAAAAAATGCCCTTCCATTCGAGTTTTATAGATCTCTCAAATATAGAGGGTACGTGCGAAGAAAGGGCTGCACCTGAATCACTTTTACCGAGTAGTGCTAGGTCCAAAGGTACGGCCATTGTGTTCCACACTGTAGGTCGCAAAGTAGGTTCTTGCTTTTCTCGGTGGCGAGCGTGTTAGCACTCGCTGCTTAAGAGCCTATCACAGGAAGCTCTGAAGCGAAAGAAAATTAGCTGAATTTCACCGACTTTGAGATCTGCAGACACAGTATAGCTGTAGTTCTGTCCTTCACTGTTTATTGCCTGGTGATGTATGATACTTTTGAGAGATGTTACTGATTACGTTATTTCTACAGTAAGTGGTGTACAAAAATGACGTTTGGCTGCCCCTGCTGCACCTGCTTCTGCTGTAGTGACTCTGAGCCCTGTTCACGCTTCAACAACCGTTGCCTGTTTTTCGAAGCTGCTACCCCTTCGCTAGTGATTGAGGAAAGTTATGCCATGAGCAAAGTGGGGCATGGGCTTGTCGGTTTTTCAAGATTACAAACTTCGCTACTGTCACTGAGAAATACGAAGTTAGGAGACGCCGCAGGTCACGGGATCGAATGCCGGCTGCGGCGGCTGCATTTCCGATGGAGGCGGAAATGTTGTAGGCCCGTATGCTCAGATTTGGGTGCACGTTAAAGAACCCAAGGTGGTCGAAATTTCTGGAGCCCCCCACTATGGCGTCTCTAATAATCATATGATGGTTTTGGGACGTTACACCACACATATACATCGACGTTGTGAGACGCTTAAAGAGGTGGACACTAAAAGCGCAAAGTATCAACATTTTTCCCAATAAATTCAGTTGATAGTTCACACTTTTTGCACCCGCATTGTTTTGTGTCCGCCCCTTACTAATATTTCGCAGTAACCGTAATGTATATTTTATTCAAGTTATGCTATGTTATAGCTGTGTCTGGAAACTCGACCATGGCATGCGATGCGCACACTGATCTTTGGTGACGGCCACTGCTAGGACAGCTCCTCCTTTTAAACAAAAATGAGATTCCTGAGCGTTTTACGCGAGGCCTGCATCCGACAGCTCACATGCGCCCCACTGACAAAAGCCACTCACTTATGAGCGCACGCGCACATACACATATTTAGCTTCACGTCGAAGTATCCCTTTCGCCTGTTTTTTTTTTTTTTTTTTGCGTGTATTTCGTCGTGAGCGTCAACAAGTAAACTCGTATGTATGTCAGGGTGTCAAAGTGTACAACGTGCACTGCAAGGTTTTCTGCGATATAAAAATAGACTTTGCAGACTTTTATGGCAGTCAAAAAACATGAAAGGCATAATATTGATTCATGCTAAAAATAGAATTTGCAATGCTAGTCAACTTTCTCGTCTCCTTTAGGAGACGAAAAAGAGACGTTAGAAGTTTTGAGCCTCTTCACTCGATCTTACTTTTCAATTAGAAAAAAAAATACTTTAACCCAATCACACGGGCTTTCACTGACCTCACGACCCCATCACACATCTCCCTATCGGAAAAAAAAACGAATGGTGGGCATGGTGGAAACCACCACCCACCATTATAGTGGATTAATGTAGTGGGTGAATGGTGGGAAACGCCCACCATGGCGCATGGTGGGTATGGTGGGTGCTGCAGTGCCGGCAACACTTGAGCGCGAAATGACGTCAGAATCACCGTGACGAGCTGCCACAAAAAAATAAAAAAAGAATTCTATAAAAACAGTATAAAAAACACCCGTCCCGTAAAAAAAAAAAAACAAGGCGCCACGGAGGATCGAACGTGCAACCTGCGGATTCCCATTCGAAGACGCTAACCACTGCGCCACACCAACATGAAATTGATTGCGTGTTAAATACTTAGTTACCATACAAACTTAAGGTTCAACTTAGTAAATTTATTATGTTTGTCCTGTACACAACATAGACAAGATCTACACCTGCTACTGAAAATTGCACATTTATTAAACACAAGCAACTGCGGCCTGTAACGATTGCCACTATGTTAATGACACTAGTGCTATTTTTTTGCAATTCACAACTTTAAGAAAAAAAAAAAAACCAAGTGGACTGGGGAGCAGCGACAGTTTACCGGCGGGGTCTGCCAAGTTTAATATCCGTTTCGCGCTCGTTCTAAAGGACGACATCTGCTCACGCTTCATGACGCTTCTAGGCTCGTTTCATAGATACGCCCGCCTAATTTATTTGATTGAGTATTGGAATGCTTTTCGCGCAATGTAGAGGGTGGTCGCGCCAGCGCAATGCTGTAGCTCGTTCGCTAAAGCAACAACTACATAACGGCTTGGCCAAAACGAATGCAGTGTGCCGGAAACATTACGCTATCATATTGGTTCACCAAGCACACGAATTGCCACGTCTGAGTTCTCGTACAAAAGCTAGAGAAGTGCCGGCGAGTGTGACCGGCGGCTGTCGGTGAGAAGACACTTAATTACGTTCTCTGGGAGCGCTTTAATCGCGTCACATCAATATTTGTTGCTTCTTGAGCGGACACCATACACAATGAAAAATGCTTCATTTAGGTTAGTTGATGCCATATGGCTGCGCTGTATTGTCATACTTAATCGTCGTCATCATGTATTCTGAAACCCGGAAGCACGGATAACACAATTGTACGGGCTCGGTCGGTAGGCCTAACATTTTGTGGAAATCATGGTGGTAGAACATGTAGTGTACAGATCCCAGCTTTGTACACTATATAAATTGCACGCAAGCCCACCCATCATCTGCTTACTGCTTCCCAGCATTATCGCGATGGTGGGCAGAGCTTCTCAGCTTGGTACACCATGTGGCCCACCATAACAAGCAGCACCCATCATCTGCTTAGTGCTTCCCAGCATTATCGCAATGGTGGGAAGAGTTTCTCAACTTGGTACACCATGTAGCCCACCATAATAAGCACCACCCACCATATGCTCAGGGCTTCCCAGCATTATCGCAATGGTGGACAGAGTGTCCCATTATTACCCACTATCTAGCCTCTGCTTTCCACAATCATTTCCTTATACCCATCATCTGTACACCATACCACCCAGTATGTCCCAGCATAACCACCATATTTTCCACTACGTCCCACCATAGCCATCATAATTTTCACCATGCCCACTATTATTTCCACCATGCCCACTATTATTTCCACTACTCCCACCATGTTTTCCAGTATCCACCATGGCAATTTTCCGATAGGGCTCCCACTACTCATTTTCACGGCAGCAGCTAGTGGATGGTCGGCAAAGAAATATTTCAGTGGAGTACATATTAACCCCCAGTGTACAGCCGTTCTCATGTGTTTGAAGTGTGAATATTGGCTAACTGCTGTTCTTTTTGAAAAAAAATTTAGAGACAATTTGTTTTTTCCGGAGTTCTTGAGGACATGATTATGTTGAAGCTAACGGCGTGCTGTTTATTTCTTGCGCTAACTATTGATTGGGTGCAATGTGAGATGTACAATAAGTGTTTGTGAGGTGTACTATAAAAAGACAACATTACTCTTGTGCCGGGGTATTGTGTCTAGTATAGTAACCACTAAAATAAAGTTAAATACACAGCAACGAAAACGTCGACATACCCTCTTCTTAGTTGGCAGAGTGGCAACGTCGTAGTTAGAAATGTTGAAAACGTCCGTGCGCACAATGTGTATATGGACATGCCCATCGTGATTTCCGTCTTCCGCACAAGAAAAACCTACAAATAACAATTGAAGGAATGAGAATGAAAAACTGCCTGAATAACAGCGTAAAGCGTTTCGATTTGATTGTTCGTTTGGTGTATGGGTTTCGTCATCCCAATGGCAATCTAGGTACGAGGGTAAAAGCAGTTTAACACTGCGCAAATGCATAACGCATGTCAATAAATTTAACCTTCGAAGCCCTATAACATAAAACGTTGGCGCACACAGTTTTTGTTTGCTTAACATGTTAGGCATTGAAAACAGGTTAACAGATAACTCCAACCTAAAACGATCATCTAACCGAACAAAAAAACGTCTCTACCGCGGCGCCGAAACGTCTCGCAATAGTTTTAGTTGGTCATTGGACCGTTCAGCAGTCAATGAATATGTTAGTGCTGTCAAAACTGCAAAACAAAACTTCCTGACCAATACGATGTCTAGTTTCTTGAAAAATAATCCTGGGAAATTTTGGCACGTCGTTAACCGAGCTGACAGCTCTCGTATTACTTTAACTCACACAAATGGTGAACCTATACCTCATGAAGAATGTGCTAGTGTGCTAAATAAAGTGTTTTCTGATGCATTCTGCAACAATCCCCCTTCTTCTCTACCCAGTTTTAAAAGCCACGACTACATACCGATGTACCCTCTGCAGATTGGCCCTAACGAAATATTTAAAATAACTGACTCCCTTAAAATTTCTCCCAGTTCCGGTGTAGATAGTATTAATTCCAAATTAATGACAATTACTAAACAAAACTGTTCATTTATCCTAGCGAAGCTTTTTGAACAATCCTTAGAACAAAGTAAAATCCTTGCTGATTGGGAAGTAGAGAAGGTGGGGCCAGTCTTTAAATCTGGAGACAGACAGTCCCCCCTCAATTACAGGCCAATATCTATCACTAGCATACCATGTAAAATTTTTGAACACATCATTTACTCTCATGTTGCCAACTTTCTCGAATACAACTCATTTTTTGACCCTGGACAGCATGGATTCCGGAAGTCTTTTTCATGGGAAACCCAGTTAATATGTTTACTCACAAACTTCAGTCTATTCTTGATAACCGTTCATTTGCTGATAGCATTTATTTCGATTTTCCTAAATCATTCAAGAGAGTTCCACACGCGTTACTCCTATTCAAGCTAAGAAATATTGGTCTCGATACTAGCATATTAAATTGGATTGAGTGTTTCCTAGTACATCGCCAGCAGTTTGTCACAGCTAATGACACCAATTCATCTCTAACCCCGGTTATCTCAGGTGTGCCCCAGGGCACCATCCATGGGCTGCTTCTTTTTCTTATCTATATCAATGATCTGCCCAAATGTATCTCATCTTCAATACGTTTATTTGCTGACGATTGTGTCATTTTACGGGAAACTAATAATGATAGTGACATACACGCACTCCAATCTGACATTATTGCGATATCCCATTAGTTCAATACATGGCAGATGCTTCTAAACCCTACGAAATGCAAATCAACGCGAGTTGTTCGCATCACTACTAACGCACACTTGTATTACCTTGACGGTAACATTCTTGAAGCGGTTACTTCTTATAAATACTTGGGCATTCATATCACTACTGACCAATCTTGGAATCTTCAAATTGAAAGCATCACCAACAAAGGCAAGCGCATGTTTGGCACATAAGACGAAATTTTCATTCCGCCCCTTCATCGATAAAACTGCTCCTTTTCAAATCTCTTGTACGCTCACATCTCGACTAGCATCACCGATATGGGATCCATGTACTGAAATTCTTACTCACCAACTCAAAATGATTCAAAACAACGCCGCACGTTTCATTTTTTCTAACTATCAGTGAGAAGCCAGCGTACTCGGAATGAAAAGTAACTTGGGTCTAACATCTCTGACGTCACGTCGCAAAATTGCATGCTTGTGCTTATTCCATAAAGTATTCTCAACCAATATGCTTCGCCATGCTTTACTTACTCCACTTTCATACTTATCCTCGCATTTAGATCATGTTCATAAAGTTGGCGTTTCTCTCTTGCAACACTAAGGCCTTCATTCATTCCTTCACTCCCCATACCTCTAGTGACTGGAACCACCTTCTTCTAACATTGCTACCATTTGCAATCCAGATGTGTTTCGTACCGCTGTGTCTAATATTCAATTCTAGGCCATTTGATTCTGTATAACGTTGAATTGATATCTGTGAAATTCACTTGTCTATTGTATGTATTTTTTTCTTTAAATGAATGCCGAAAAATTGTCACCTATGCTAACCTCAGCCGCATTTTTTTTTCGTCGCAACAGGAATACTGCGACCTTTCTGAACCGTATAACTTGTTTTGTAGACGTTATAGCTACTTCTGTTCTGCTGTTTGTACTGCAGTTTCCTGACTTGTTGTACTGTATTCACCCACTCCCCTCTTCGAAGCAATCGCCTTGAGCGTATTCAAAATCAAAATAAAAAAACGTATTAGCGTTAAGGAATGCCGAGAAATGTACTATCCTTGTCAAATGACGCCCGGAAATCGGCAAGCCTTCGCGATAGTACAGTGCACACCGTCCACCTATCAACATGGAGAGGCACCCATATATGCACAGAGCCTCCGAACAGGATGCGTACGCCTGTCAATGGCGATAACTGAGCGTTGCGCACTATAAGGGCTAGGTTCACGCTCACAGCAACCTACGCCTCGCCATTGGATGTTTTCAGGCCGCCGTTTATATCTGCGGCTGAAGTGTGTTGAAGCTTGTGAATGAGGTACGACTCTCTATATCTTGTCTCTTGTGGACTAAAAGTTTGACTGAAGTATATAGAGTTCGAGACCGTCAAAGTTTTGTCGTGCTACTGTGCCTCTGCTTTCAGTAATTTTTTTGCTGTGTCCGTGTGATGATCGTTTTATCTAACATTAACAGGCATGCCCTGTTTACCCATTGTACTGCTTATGACGATATGAAAATTTGATTATGCAGATAACGTTTTCACTAGTCCAGGTAAAACTAGATTCTATGATACACATAATCACTTCTGGTGCGTCTAACCATCATGCCATCTTAAAGGTGTTTGTCATTCTTTCTTCTTGGACAGCAGCGAAGTCTTACTTGCGAGCATAAAAATTGTTAAGGCGTTTATTAAACGGCAACCAGCGATCATACGATACGGCGACAGTCATGGCCAAGCATGGACTCACAGCGCGAGCATTGTCGTTTTTTGGGTAGCCCCGCTAGAAGGTACTCGAGAGTTCGACCCATTTCAGAGTTCGGAGGCTTAGCTACAATTACCCTGGAGTCGAAAAGGCAGCCACCTGGTGACCTAACAGCTTGTTACTATGAGCGGGCCATAGTAAGCTTTCAGGCGCTCCACGTTGACTATGTCGATTGCTGAATGGGCTCAATCAGATAGTTGACCGGAGATGTGCGCTCGATGACACGGTAGGGGCCTTCCTATTTCGGGAGTATTTTGGAGATGCCAGCTACAGAAGTCGGGATCGAGAGCCATACAAGCGCACCAGAAAAGAACATGGGCTCAGAGGTGGTGGAGCCATCACGAATACTCTTCTGCCACTCTTGCTCATGCGTCGTAAAAGTCTTGGCAAGCTCACGACACTTTTCAGTAAGCCTGGCTGTCTCAGAAATAGGTGCACACTCCGATGGATCCGGCGTGTACGGGAGTATCGTGTCGATGGTGTGCGATGGGTGCCTTCCGCACAGCAAGACGAAAAGTTAAAAACTGGTCGTGCTCTGAGGGGCGGTGTTGTAGACGCAGGTGACAAAAGGGCAGTATATTATCCCAATTCGTGTGGCTGGCGGTGACGTACATCGAAATCATGTCACCGAGGGTGCAGGTTAAAGTGTTCACTGAGGCACTTCGTCTGCGGGTGGTAAGCAGTAGTTTTGCGGTGGACATAATGGCCCTCCATGAGAATGGCCTCAACGAATTCCGACAAGAAAACACGGCCTCAGTCGCTGAGAAGCTCGTGAGGTGAACCGCGTGGCGCAGTATTGATTGGTGCAGTAGGAAGGACGCAACATCACGTGCAGTAGCCACAGGGAGAGTAGTGGTTTTGGCGTATCACTATAAATGATCTACGGCTACAATGCCCGGTGGTTACCAGCCCATTTCAAAGACAATATTCATACAAATCAATACCTATGTGCCCAAGCAGATGGTCAGGGCAAGGTATCGATTGCAGACAAGCTGGCAACATGTGTGCTGAGGGTTTGCAGCGTCGGCGAGTGACGCAGGAGTGAAAAAATTGCTGCACGTAGCGGTACATCCCACGCCAGAAGCAGCGTTGTGAAATGCGGTGGTAGGTTTCGGATACCCCAGAGTGCGCGCATTGCGGATCAGAATGAAAAGATTTACAAATCTCCGACCGCAAACAGCGGGGTATCACGAGTAACCACTACCGGCCATCGGCGTCGTAATTGCGTCGGTGTTGTAGGCCGTCGTGCATGGCGAAATTATGAGCTCGAAAACGCAAGGCGCCCGTGGATGGTGTTGCGGATGAATCAGAGGCCAACTCGATCAGCGGGGCGATCCATTGGTCTTTTCGCTATTCGGTAGCGATGATGTCAACATCGATGACAGAAACAGCAATTGAGAATACTGAGCAAGGCACGTCGTCTTCAGACAGAGGGCATTGCGAGAGGGCGTCGGTGTCAGCATGCTGGCGTCTGTTGCGCTACAGCACGCGGATGTCGTAGTCTTGTAAGCGACGAGCCCAACGGATGAGGCGGCCTGAGAGATCCTTCAATTATGACAGCCAGCATTGTGCATGATGGTCGGTGACGACATCGAATGGACAATGTAAGAGCTCAGAAGATCACCAGGCACTCTTTTTGCGTGATGGTGTAGTTTTTCTCGGTTCTCGTGAGAGTACACTAGCATATACCACGACATATTCAGGGAATCTGAGTTTGCGCTGTGCCAGGACAGCGCCGAGGGCTACACCGCTGGTGTCCGTGTGAACCTCCGTTGGGGCCGTAGGGTCGTAGTGGCGTAGAATGGGAGGAGATGCCAACAAAGGGT